CTCTAAGTACTTCTCACGAATACCCTCAAAATACACTTGATCCTCAATGTTAGAATTATAATCACTCAAAGACAATAATAACAAATCCGATAACTCTTCATTAAATCGCTTAAAGTCATCCATATCCATTTGTAGACCATCTTTACTAGCAGTGAGCTTCACAATATCACAACACTGTTCTCTAAGTAATTAATCTTTTCGATTTATACGAGATTCTACAGCCATACCTGACTTTTTCGTCTTTTTTCGTGCATTTTCTAAGTTTACTTGTACGCCCTTTCTTGTGCATATATATTCGTGCCTGTTGTTCTTCTGCATCTACGCTTCGAGTACTCCCCGTATCGTCTTCTGTATTGATTACAATGGACTTATCAATATTACCTTCGTCTTCGAATAATTGTTCGCTGTTCTTTCCCTTCGAGATGTTCTCTTCTAAGTCTTTTTCGCAGACTTTCGATCGTACTTCATCCGTCTTATGACCACCTGGGTCCATAGCCATACTATATTCTTTATATCTTCTTGTAAATCACAAGATATATCGGCTTGTCCGTATAAAATGTGTCATACTCACAAATATTCACACTTGAAATATACACGTTTGTGAGTCTCGTTGTTTACTGTAAATGTTCATTAATCTTTATTCATGTTTTATCTTTAGGTTACTTGGTTTTGGTCGGGTAAACAACGTTGATGACTCAGCCTTTATCTTAATTTACAAATCTTAAAATACAAAAAGCTTGTCCTTTCGTATTAAACATGTTCTTTTTTTTGTGTTCTTTCGCGCCAAAAAAGGCACGACAACGTACGAACGTTTCCGATCTGTACACGCGCGCGTGTCCACGCAACGCGAGCACTTACAGTGTTGGTCAAGTTTGGTGGAATTATGTATGTCAATACAGTGCCTGTGTGCATTTACAAAGTTCATACCTTTTTATTATAAAATTGTATTTTCCCATGCAATTTAGATTGGGTGGGTGGGTCATGAAATAAATTTGGTAAGATTAGATGGGCTTTGAAATTTTTATCTACATCCTAAGATGGGTCACCAAACTTATTGGTAAAATTTGTGCTTTACCTTAGCCCACCCTAGCAGTTACTTTATGACCAGTCCCGAAGGAAAGATTTCTCATTTGAAAGAACTTTTAAGACTATATATAATACTTGATAAGACTATATATAATACTTATAAGACTATATATCATATCTTGCTTACGTATGCCGAACGATATATTTTATTAATTAACAATTATTCGCCGAAGGCAAGGTGAGTATTCGCCGAGACGAAGTCGAGGTGAATATTCCGGCCCCGATAATCACCGAGCCTGAGGCGAATAATTGTTTTAGTATTTTTACACAAGTCTTTGTGCTATTTGGTACTGAACTTATTTTAATTTCGCTTATTTCTTTATCAGTAAGCTTCCACAAAACGGCTAGCCGCCAGTTTGAAAATTTCAGTTTTGTTATATTCACCTTTAGGTGAATTAACAGCTTAAAACGTCAAATCTGACCAATCACCTTGTAGGATTTGTTATGTTCACTTGTGCAAAAATACTAATTACAATTAACTATACTTGGCTAAAACACCAAGGTGGTCACAACTCATTATTGACATTATTTTCGGAAATATTCCAAGTAATCAACGTCTGTCATTGCCATTTTGCTACAGATATCTTCAACTTTAACACGGGTCCCAAAACCCTGGGTCTCATTAAAGTTTACAAAATTAAAACCCACATTCCCATCATATGCTTGCCCAGTTTCACAAAAAAACTCAATCTCTTTTCGTCTCGCTTTAAAACTTGCAAGTTCTGCGTCAAAATTATCTTCGTTGCGTATTTGTTCCCAAAGCGTTGCGTTGAAAAAATCATATAACATAAAATCAGCCATGTTCCATTTCCCGATAGCATGTTTTGCTGCGCGCGAAACTGTAAAGGTCATTGCCATGTTGCGCGGTAATAACGAACTCAAGTAGACAATATCATCTATTTTCCAGCATAATTTGCGCTTTAATAGAACCAGCGATTCATCCAGATATTCGTAGATGAGAACTAAAGTGAATTTTGTTTGCAAGTCAAAAATAGCGCTGGATATTGCAATTTCATTCTCGTATTCTGACGTGTGCAAACCAAGATCGAAAAACATTCCATTCTTGAGGAGATTCATCGAGTCCTGTTAAAAGAATGATAAAAGTTTAACTTGGTGGCAAGGCTGTGGCGACGGTGGATCGGTAAGGAGGTGTAACCTTCCCCCCCAGATATTTGCTAATGAGTAATAATTTCAGGTACATTTCTAGGTGATTTACGCGGACTTTGTTGACAGGAAAACGTGGAATTTAAAAATGAACCCAAGCTAGCTAAATGCCAAGTTTTGGTCCTTTCTGAGCGATACTGCGATCAAACATTGCTTGTACTCGAAAGATTGGAAATAGTATATTGTTTTTACGAAGCTCTCTCAAAAAGGTACGACAGTTTAAACTCAGTATAACTTCGTCTTGACACAAGGAAAAAGCGCTGTAATTCTCTACCTTGTAGCTTCAGGCGTTTCATGCATTATAGTAAGCGCTTTTCTTTTTCAGTATTTACTCCAATTATTTTGGCAGACGTTTTCCCGGCCATTTTCGTAGACTCACACATGCGCAGACGTTTACCGCAGTGTTTTCCGAGGGTCTATTGCATGGCATCTCGTAGTTCGTCTAACGTGATCCAGTATAATTAATTAAATAAAGTTATTTTAGCTTACAAACACTTTCAAAAATTGTTGCGGTTATCCAAAGCAAAACTTCCTTCGAGCGATAGTAGTATATAAACAGAAGGTAGTTTTATTTGGTGAATATTTTAAAGGAAGCGAGAATAATATGACTTACAAAAAATCGCTTCTTTCGTATCGCCTGCTTCAAAAATCCTTTCGTATCCAACGCAAACGCTTCAAACGGCTTGTGGTGATCAATTTCCATTCTCTTAGCAATATCCAGGCGTTCAAAAACAGTCGCGAAATAATCCACGGGTTCTCTGAGCATGCTCACAAAATGTGTGTTCAACGGCATAAATTTCGCCATGACGTCACCACTGTATCGAGCGTGGTTACATAGCACATTAGGGAGATTTCCCTCGAGCCGTTGCATGTCCAAGTACCGCCAGTGAAATTTGCTCGGCCAGTAAAACGACGAAAGGCCATTGGTCGGAAGTGCTACGAGCAGTTGACGGAGATCGGCGAAGCGGTTCAAGATGTTTGTAACGGCATCACCGCCTGTGTAGTGTGTTTTGAGAAATAGCACGTTTCTGGATGGTATTTGGCACGTTCTACTCCTAAAATGGTAAAAAATACAAAGTTGTGGTGGATTTCCTCTAAGTCCCATTTCCCAGCACAAATTTTAGGTCAAATCCCAGTTCCGCTGTAAAATTGAAAGAAAATATCAGAGCAGGTGGTTAATTTTGAGCCGAAAATGGTAACAATTTAATTTCCGCACGTAATACAAACATATAATAATTATACAAAATTTGCAAACTTTGCAATTAAGACTGTATTTTCCAAGCTATACAACATTTCGCAACCAAATTTTGCAACTTTACTAATTTCATTATGTTCTTTTTAGCTGTGGTGTTTGATTCCCTTCTGTTTATATACTTAGGTTAAAATTTAGTCTAACATGCAAGTTGTCCATTATTACTTTTCAGGGGCGCCTGAAGCAATGTGAAGCGGCGGGGGCAGCCATTTCAAAAGGGCACTTGCTTCCCAATCATACAATACACTTTATTGTACCCATTTGTTAAAATACTACATGGATTATAAGACAAATTAATTATAATAAAAGTAGGGTACTGGCTTCCCGAAATAACCTAAGATGGCTAAAAATGCCAGGAAGCCAGTTCGCAAAAATACTTAAGTAACTTATATAATCGGAAAATAGGTACAACATGACACTAGCAGTAACAGAAAACAGACTTACACATAGAACTACACTAAGAATAAATTAAATACAATTTACAATTGCAACATATTTTAATAATACAATACCAGTAGATTTTGGTTTGGAGTTGGGATGAAGGAAAAGGATCAGAACAGCTTTATCAACTTATATAGCAAGAAGAAGAAAAATTTTACTGAGAATAAAATGTTTAATATTTATGCAATATATCACTTTTTAGTTTATTTTTGAATTTTGAAAAAGAAAACAGTTTTATATTTTCGTTTATGGAATTCCATATCTTGGTTCCTTGAAATCTTATACTGAATAAACCATAATTAGTTCTTGTTCTATGTATTCTATCTATTGGAGTGAAAAAGTTATCAAAAACTGAGGGCAATAGTCGATGGTGGAATTTATACATAAATGATGCAATATGGAAAGTTACCAAATCAAAGATCTTGATTATATTTAATAACTTAAACAATGGACTTGAATGTTCGTTATATTCAGAAAACGTTATAATACGCATGGCCTTCTTTTGTAAAACAAAAAGTGGTTGTATTGTACTGTGGTAAGTATTACCCCAGACGATTATACCATATATTAAAAATGGATAAATCACAGTATAATAAAGATTAATCAGAATGTTAGTGTGAACATAGTACCGTAATTTAGATAGAACGCCCACACTTCTCTTAATTTTTTTAGCAATACATTCAATTTGAGATTTCCAACCAAGGTTAGAGTCAATCAGGATGCCCAGATATTTAACCGAATAGCATTGTTTAATGATCTTGTCATTTATACTTAATTGAAAATTTATACCTATTTTTCGTTGCGATGGATGAAAAAGGACAAAATTTGATTTTTCTACATTGAGCGATAACTTATTGGCACATAGCCAGACATTAATACTATTTAATTCGGTATTAACATCTGATTGCAAAATATTAATATTTTTATGTCGGTAGAACAAATTTGCATTGTCGGCAAATAAATGAAAATCGAAGAGGTTAGAACTGTGATGAAAATCATTGACATACAAAACAAATAAAATTGGACCAAGAACGGATCCCTGTGGTACACCACAAGAAATAATACTAGCCGAAGACTTAGTATTATTTACTGTAACTGTTTGATAGCGGCCTCTAAGATAGGATTTAAACCAGTGTTTAGCTACACCCAGTATTCCATAATGCTCTAATTTTTTTATTAAGATTTCATGATTGACTGTGTCAAAGGCTTTACTAAGATCTAAAACTATTCCACAAGAAAAATCTCGTTCATCAATTGCTTTTTGTATTTCATCAATTATACTAAGAACGGCAAAGTCAGTAGAGTGTTTAGCACGAAATCCGACTGATTGATTATCAAACAAAATTGCTTTTCGTTGGATAAAATCAAGCAGCCTAATTGACATAAGTTTCTCTAAGAGCTTACTGAATACTGAAAGAAGAGAGATTGGACGATAATTACAAGTACTAGTTGGAGATCCATTCTTATAAATCGGTAGAACATTTGCTATTTTAAAATTGCTTGGTACAACGCCCATTGAAAAAGAAACATTAAATAAAATTTCCAATGGCTTCGATATCACTGTTCCAAGGATTTTCAGAATTGACACTGGTATACTAAATGGACCAGTAGCCTTTCCGAGTTTTAATTTAGAAATTTCATTTACAATCTTTTCCGAAGTAACTGGAGAAATATATAAGCTGTCACATGGAGAATTAGTGAGATAATCAAAAGGCGACTTTTCAACATTTGGTATTAAAGAGGCCAAACTATTTCCGATGTTAGCAAAAAAATTATTGAAAGCGTTTGCAATTGCCATTGGATCTGTTATCTCTCTATTTCCCTCCAGAATTTTGATAATTCTCTGGCTCACTTTAGGTTTAGAGTGTATTATTTGTTTGATGCCCTTCCATACTCTCTTTGTATCTTGGATGTTTTGTATAAAATAGTCATTGTAGTATTTTCTTTTGCTAATCTTCAAAATATGGTTTAATTTGTTTCTATATAATTTAAATTTTGAATGATAGTAAAAGGACTTTGTTTTCAAGAATTTACTGTATAATTTGTTTTTAACATGAATTGATTTTTGAATTGCACGTGTTATCCATGGTTTGGATTTTAACTTTATTTCATTTCTAGATAATTGTATTATAGGAATATGTTTATCAATTATTTCAGTTGTCTTAGCGTAAAAATTATCAAACATTAGAGACGGATCACTATTTGAAGCAAATACTGTTTGCCAATTGATAGATTGAAATTCATTTATTAGATCTGGTTCATTAAACAATGAGTAATCTCTCTTATAGATTTTAACATTTGAGGGGAGAGACGAAAATTTATTAAATATGATAAAATTAGGCAAATGATCAGTCAAATCATAGACCAGATTACCACTAATGACAAAGTGTTCGATTGAATTAAAAAATATATTATCAATCAATGTCGAGGAGTGGTTAGTTAGTATCATAGTTTTTCTGTGCGGAAATATTTGTTAAAAACTATTTACCGTATGGATACTCGATTATATTATAGTTGTGGCTATGATGGCTCGGCAAACTTCAACATTAATTTTGAACAATTTTATTCGCGGCACCATGCTAAGGGAGCGAAAGAAAATCAGTATACGGATGTATATTGCCTGATTTAGCATTAATTTTACTATAACTGGTCAAAAATTAAGCAAAGATTGCTTAAACATTGCTTAAAAATAGTTATAAATTCCAATTCCTGTGAATACCGCACGAATTTCGAAGTGTAGTTCCGGTAAAAGGGCAACCTGTTGCCCCCGTACTGCCCCCGCACTGTTTGGGCAACAGGGACAGTTGCCCCCGCTGCCCCCATTGCTCCGGCGCCCCTGCTTTTGAACGAAAGTAATCTGTAATAATTACCCAGTTTCTGGAGAATTACTGAATTATAATTTCTACTCATTGTACTTTTCTTTGGCAATTTTTACAACACTGTAGGTAAGATTTAGTTATGAGAAGGTTGGGTCATGGACATACTTATATAATTATGACTTATATAAATATTACCTTTCATTGATCAGGGCACTGTTATCAAAATCAGAATAATTATCATCAGTTGTAAGGTAGTCATCCTTTCCCTCTATGATCTCATGTATGTACTCATCGAGGACCGCTGACGTATGTACTGCAGGATCAAAGGACTGGTTGCGAGTGTATGACGTCATCAGTTCCTCGTATTCCTTGTTTGTGAAAAAATTGTCATCCTTTATTACCCAGACGTTTGACACTTGGATTCTACGATATATAAAGATAGACGAGAATCAGTCACTATAATATATTCCTAAGACCAACATATTCGCAACAGAGTCAGATGATAGCTCCAATGGCAGTTGATCAGAACACGTTAGGACTCTGATCTAGGATTTTGGTGAAGATATTCGTAATTTTATAGGTTTATATCGGAATCCTACTAGCTATGGATGCTTTTGGAGTGTGGCCATAAACTTATCTTGTTTGTGTTAGAATCGATTCGATTCCGGATCTATTACGTTGTCAGGATCCTACAAGACAAATCAGCTTGATATTATCATTCGGATCATCATCACTTGATATTATCATTTGGTCGACCCCTTGTTAAAATTGAGACGTTCTCTGGCCAAATTATTTTTAATGACAAGCTTTTGGCTATCAGACCTATAGCTTGAACAGGTGAAGGATTGTCATTAAAATTAATTTGGCGGCCAGAGAACGTCTCAATGAGAGTTGAGAAAAATCTCATGTAAACTGTCTGAGTCAACGGTCAAATTAAGGGATTCATATTGTCTAATTACACTTACCGAATTGGTATATTTCGTAATCTTGTTTCAACTGTAGTCGAAGATGTTGTTAAAATACGATAAAATGACAGTATGATGGTTATGCAACATGCAATTACAATACAAAATAGATATCTTCTTTGACGTTGCTGTCGTGCAAGCCATTTGAACGAATATTGATTTTTGAATCGTACTTGTTTTCCATCCATTTAAAATAGTAATTTAATAGACCTTCAGAAAACCTGAACGAGAGTACTTTTTTATACAAGTTTGGTTGAACACTTCAATGTTGTTTAAGATTATATTAAATAGCCAGAATGTTGTACACAAATACTTATCATAATCTTCATATGGATTTCGGAGATTTCAAAATGGAGATTTAGATTTCAAAATAATGATTGGAAAATAGCTTCGTAACTTCTTCATTGCATTCGGTTTATTAAAACTGTTATTTTCTTTTGTCCCAAGTGCTGTCGTTTCCAATGGTAATGAAATTCAGTTAAGAGGTTTAGTTACACATTGTTATATCGTATATTGTAATTGTAACCTGTGTTTAAGCAAGTGAAAGCTTTGTCTAGCACCTACAGGTACTTAACAGTGTTTGGATTATCTTAAATGAGCAAACCCAAACTCGCTTCAATGACCAGAAACAATAGCTTCGATTTGCCTTAATTATATTGTCAATTTTAGGGTGGAATAGGCCTGTGAAATGAACTATGTCTGGAACACTATCTTCAACCAGAAATTTGTAAGCAAACTTGAAGATCAGTCCCAGTCTTTCCACGCATGTGAAGAGCACGGTCAAGCCATCAATATAAATATGTACCCTTTAAAACCGGCTTAAAATTTACAAAAGATACTTTTTAACAGCGCTGAAAACTTGCTGTTAACGCATTTATTCAGATAAAACCCCGTTTCAACTGAGGACATTTACGAAGGCTGTTAAAAGACGTAAGCCAAGTTTGTTCAGTTAGTTGGTATATAATCCAATAGTATGAACTGAATGTTTGTAGATTGAATAAGATGAAAATTTTATTGAAAATGTTAAAAATGTCCACAAAACATACTGTTTCCCTCGGTCCCAGACTACCAGTCAATAAGTATTGGTATTTTATATCACCTTAGCTAACAAGACCTACTGTACTCTATACGTGTCTGAATCCTAAGTAAAGTACTTGTTGTGTCCTTCAATAATACTCTGTCTCAACTGGTAGAAAACCTTGGATGCCCTTGGAGTAACCAAGAATTCGCATTTATTCGGCAGCCATCCATTGTAATTATTATTACTCAAACCAAAAACCTCGCACTTGGCCCCAGGCTCTTCGTCGTCTGGCACAGCAATGTAGAAATTCCCGCCATTTGTCGCTCGGATAAGACCATGAGCTCCCGCGGGTTTTGACGCATGCGTAGCATCCGTCACAAACATAGCATAAGCTTTTTTCCCAAACCAGTCAGTCTCGGCGGGAGGCGAGCAGAGTAATACCATATCTCGGTTCGTCAAGGGAAATGAGACTTCGACACGCGTGTAAGCAATGACTGATCCGTTAGGAAACGTGTCCAATAACTCTAAACCTGGAAATATCGACAGAAAGGATTGTCAGCATTTATTTTCTTCCTAATTCTATGTCTCAACTTCATTTAAAGACTAAAGTGCGACTAATCCCAAATATAGTTTTTAGTATGCGTGGTATTTGGGTCATTCTGAGAAGAAATGTAATGTATCTTTATAGTAAAAAACCTCATCTTCATCAACTTTTTCACTGTCAAAGTTTCCGGATATGATGTCATTAGGTGAATTTTTGGTATAAAAAAAACAAAGGAAAACTATGATGTTTGTGATGTTACTCTGAGTGTATATCCTCACCGGACAAGCTTGAAAAATGCATATTTTTATACACAACATCAACACAGAAAAAAGGAAAACTAATTTGCAATTCACCTAATGATATCATATCCGGACACTTTGACAGTGAAAACGTTGATCAAGATGGGATTTTTTATTATAAAGATATATTACATGTAATTGTTTTTGTTTGTGGAAACACCACGTAAATTTATTACTGCAAAGCTTTCGATCCGTAAGCCCGGATCTTCATCAGTGCTAATAATATGTGACTTGTTTAATTCACACGCTCTTTTTATATACAAGAGTGTCGTGATCTGTTGGCTCGTGTCATTTGAAATTTAATTAAACGGCACATCAAAGAAAGCTTTGCAGTAATAAATTTACGTGGTGTTTCCACAAACAAAAACAATTATATTTTTATCGCCATGCAAACATTCAAAGAACTTATATTACATTTCTTCTTTAAATGACCCAAATATTACACATACCAAAAATCATATTAGTGGTTAGTCGCACTTTAACAATTATTCACCTCAGTGTCGGCATAGGCAGCCCACTAAACGACTGAATTTAAATTAAAACTACAATGAAATTATAAAATTTAACGAAAATAATCACAAATTAGCGAAATATATTGCAAAATGTAGCTTATATTAAATCTCCACCAACCTCGTCCCCAGGGCCTTTTAAAGAAAGATGCGAAGGGCACTTCGCCTCCTTCCTCAATAGGCCCTGGGGACGAGGTTGATCTCCACTCGATTGACCTGTCGGCGAACTGACGTATATTAAAGTATACCTTAATATACGTCAGTTCGCCGATAGGTCAATCGAGTGGAGATTTAATATAAGCTACATTGTGCAATATATTTCGCTAATTTGTGATTATTTTCGTTAAATTTTATAATTTCATTGTAGTTTTAATTTGAATTCAGTGGTTTTAGTGGGCTGCCTATGGTGTCGGTGAATAGTGCAACTAGGATATTCACTGAAACGGGAGCATATATGATAACACTGAAACAAAAATGACCAAAAACTACGAAATATTTTTAAAACAATTTTTATTTCAGCTCTGAGCTCACGTCATAGTTGCAAATTGCACAAACATGACAGCAGTTACACGCTTTTACAGTTTTAGTAATATTATTCGTTAGAAATAGGTTTAAAGTTAAAGGGATATTGGCAATATAAATTAAGTTTGTCTTATTTGAAAGAACATTTAAAATGATATCTAAACTTCCTTTACAATTATTCCGTATCTTGCTTGGTTTTCGAAACAAATCGACTTATTTCGATCAAAAGCAGCGTGCATTCCACCATCTTGGATATGCATTCGATATGCATACGTCACAAGCAGGGCAAAAGCGAAATTTTTAACTCACAACATTTTAAGAAACTTTTGGAAGAAATTTAGTCCCACATGAAGAAGTTTTAACTATGCAGGGCATAGGACAATTCCCATTATAGACTAATTTTAAAATTAGGCAAGGAAACCGAAATAAATCAGCACAGCTATAGAAAGAGCATACTAAAATTAGTAAAATTACAAAGTTTGGTTGCGAAATGTTGTAAAATGAGGAAAATATAGCCTTGTAAAGTTCGCCAATTTTGTGTACTTTTGTATTGCTTGCGGAAATTCCTACCACATTCCTACCACATTTAGGCCGAAAATGTCGCACGCAATACAAAAGTATACAAAATTTGCAAACTTTGCAAGGCTATATTTTTCACATTTTACAACATTTCGCAACCAAATTTTGTAATTTTACTAATTTTAGTATGCTCTTTCTAGCTGTGGTGATTTGTTTGCATCTCCTTGCCTAGTTTTAAAATTAGTCTATAATGGGAATTGTCTATTATAATACAAAGATGGCGGACTGCACACTGTTTTTGGTCAGAGTATTTCCGGAAAACCAAGCAAGGTACGAAAAAGTTGTAAAGGGTCTGCATATATAACTTTAAACGTTCTTTCAAATAAGACAAAGTTCATTTTTATTGCCATATTCCTTCAAACAAAACTTTGTGAAATTGTGGCTTTCTTTGTGTTTGGCGAAACCGAGCCGGAACGAAACGGGAAGCCATTTTGTTTTTGTCCCGAGAACGGAATAGTGCAAGGGTATGGATATAAGGAGCTGAGCAACCAATCAAATTTCTTGAATAACAAGGCAAGGTGATTATCGGGGAATTATCATAAATATATAACCCGAATATTCACCGAGACAAAGTTCAGGCGAATATTGAATATTCCCCAATAATCACGGAGCCTGAGGCGAACCGATTGTTTCAGTATTTTTACCCAAGTCTTTTGTATTTTTTTGGACTGAATTTATTTTAATTTCGTTTATTTCTTTTCGCTAGTCGCCATTTTGTAAACTAGTTTTTACTGTTATATTCACATGTGGGTGAATATAAGGGAATATCACGTCAAATTTTACCAATCACCACGTCGGATTTCTTCAGTTCACTTGCGTAAAAATACTAATAAATATTATTCATCGTGGTTGCACGTTTTACCTCAGTTATCCCTAATGTAATGGACAATTACTTAAGCATTGAATGGATTGAACTGGATCGTTATATTAAAAATTCGGTCAGTACATTAAAGATATGGGCCTAATCTTCGGTTTTGTCCTGTAGGTTGTCGTTATAAATGGTGCGTGCGCACATATCGAAGTAATTATACGAGAATACGATGAGCTCAATCACCGTGAACGCGTGCACAAATTAAAATAAACTGAGACAGAAACATAACACAATGACTTCTGTTTAGTTTCACCATGGATAATAAAATAAATGGATAGGAAACTAGCTGACGTGACCTAATGTTTTCAATGGGCTGATGGCGTGATTGGATGTTGAAACCTATAGTTGCAAACCAAATTCTCAAAAACGGCATGTTTAGCATTAATACAGCTAAACATTTTAGTCAAAGAGGAAATGAATATAACTACGCTATTCTACGATGAAATCTCTAAGTATTCCCAGTCAATTTTGGCAAATATTTCAAGCACTAAACAGTGAAAAAGGCATCCCAAATTTCGTTAAAATTGGGGACGCCAATTTCGTAGCTACAAATGTACAAAAATACAAAACAAAGACGAAAAACATTTACCTTGAATACTTTGTCGTGGCTTAGGCATGTTTTTAAAACAATTAGACCAGTATATGCTTCAATATTACTCTTTTAAAGCGGAAAGTATAGCGAAACAACAAAAATGCCGAGAACTTTGCAATACGTGTGACGTCACAGATTGCAACTAGGTTGTTTTTGTTCACGTCAGCTAGAGTCCTATCCATTTATTTTATTATCCATGGTTTCACTAAACATAACAACTGCGCCATCAAAAAATTACTTCTAGCAATAATCTTAAACCAGTTTCAAACCTGCAAAGGCGTTGTCCCATTTCTTTCGGATCTCAAAATTGAGTAGCATTTCTGCAAACTTCTCAGCGGATATTGGAAGATTTTCAAATTTGAAGAGTAGTTTCACCGGTACTTCTTCTTCAGGGAATGTTTTACTCCAAGAATTATATTCATCTAAAACGTGATATCTTTGCGTCCATCCTTTGCCCGAGTCTAAATCTTCCTTGAATTGTTTTGCTCTTTCCACTTGCTTCTCGAAATTGACTTGTTGAGATTCTTCTGATGCCATTTAGACTTTGTACTAAATAAGTAAATAAGTATAATTCTTTAATGCCTAAAGATACGAATATTTACAATTGTAAATAAATAATTAAAATTAATTAAAAAAAAAGACGAACAACACACAAACTTATGAATAGTCTGTGAATCCAGATAAATGTCAATGTAACTGGTTATTGTATATTATCTGTGAAATCGAATCAGCAACGTCCAACGATAATGTAAAAGTTTTGCGCTTGATTATTGTCATATCCTTGCATGGATTAAAGGAATATACCGAATGGTTTTCCGTGCAGGATTGCGTGATCCATGCACGAGGGATGTCGCGGGCGGTGATGAGAATCAAGAAATTTATTTTATATGGCCTAAATTAGGTAGAATTGGTTATATTTCTATTTTTACACTGAGCGTGCCATTGACATCGCTAAGTGAATAAGAAGTCATGCATATAGTGATGACGTGTGATGGAACGTTCAGCCAGCGGCTTCGTCTGGAAGTTTCTATTAATATATAACTCTCAGACGAAGGGCCTTCGCTCAAAACATCAAAGCGTGGTTCTATTTTTCAGGTATGGTTGCATGATACAAAGAAGCCCGCAAACATGAAATCTGGCAACGACCTTTTGATAAACCGGTGAAATTTTCAGACATGTCATCAATACAACATGGCTGCCCACGTTCGACTATACAATTTATCCATGCATCTTTTTTGCGCTGTTATTGCCGAGTTATGTATAGTGAAGCATGATAATCATGATTTAAGAAGATATTTGTACGCTTACAGTGAAAGATCTATTTACTATTTAGTTAAATTACCTGTTATAGATCTTATTCAGTTAAATTACCTGTCGCTGGTAGCCGTAGACCGTAGTTCACAATGTTTTTGCTTTAAGAATCTTCGTAGACGACAAATCGCAGCGTGCAAAAGTACCGTTCAACCTCAAAACCAGCTGAATGTCAGATTTGCAGTTCCAGCTATATTATTATACATGCATCGTGACATCAGCTAGATATCGCTACTTTGAACAGTGAAATATTTTTTCTAATACGGTTGAATGCTTTTTGAATGCATTATCATAGACATAGCGAATGTCGGCAAATGGGATACTACCCCCCCCCCCCCAACCTGCTTCTTCGCTACGGCCCTGGCCAATGGTAAAGTTTTATGCCGGGGGATTAAAGATAACAAATGCGAGAGAGACTGTTCGCACGCTGCAATTTGTCGGACTAATTTCTGATCAATTTGCTGAATGTTAATGATGAATTTAGATGACGTTTACCAAATATTCAAAAGGTATTATTAATGCGAAATCTGCGATATATATATATATATATATATATATATATATATATATATATATATATATATATATATATATATATATATGACCAAAACTTGCCTTAGCCAACAGCACATAATATTACGACAAAGAGATGGCTACGTATCGAAGAATTTATTAAAGATGACTAAAGTAAAGTATACAAATAAATTTTCGGCCACTTGACACGGCCTTCCTCAGAATAATAATAATATATATATATATATATATATATATATATATATATATATATATATATATATATATATATATATATATATATATATATATATATATATATATATATATATATACTGCATTTAAACGTACATATTAACTTTTCAATATTTCCCTATGATGGTCTCAACAGTTTAGTCAAAGATTTCAATCTGAATAACGCAAGGGTAAAGAAAATTTCATTAAAAAGCAGAACGTGACACTACAAATATTATATTATGTTGTTAAGTATAAATATTAGAGTCGTTTATAAAGGTATAAGTAAGCTAGACTTTTCGGCGGGTTTTCTGATACGGCCACTTTCCGATCGTTATATATCACCCATCTGAAACGCAAAAACAAAGACTATCAACATTACAGGTAAAGATTAACCATAACCATATCGGTGTATCGGCTTATCGGTACTATTAGGGAAGCCTCACATATCCAGTGGCGGAAATCTCGGTGGGGCGGCCGCCCCCCCCCCGCCCACCTTCGTGGAAAATGACAAATATTCGGAAATTTTGACCTCTAAAGCCGGTTTTCCACTTGCGAATTTTTTTGCGCGAAGCGAATTTTTCATTTGTCTTTGGTCTGGAACCATTTGGAACTGATTGGATAAAGACAAAAGAAAAATTCGCTTCGCGCGAAAAAATTCGCAAGTGGAAAACCGGCCTTTAAGAGGGCTAAAAACAGCCTTTTCGAGTGCAAATGGGGGGGGGGGGGTTGTCGGAAATTTGAACGTTTGGTCGGAAATTTAGAAGGCTTCGCCCCCCCCACCGGAAAAAGTGAATTTCCGCCACTGCACATATCGATTTTGTCCATGAGAAACGTCATATGTTCGTTTCTCTGGAGACCAACCCCCCCCTTAGAAACGTCACACATAGTTATCGATATTTTGTTCTTATAGTACACATAAGGTAATTTTCTGCTATTTTCTACGGTCGCCTATTGGCGATTCTTCCGCGAGGAATATGTCATCTTCTGCTGACATATCTTTTTTTATTAATATATAAGAACTTCAAAATTTTCAACGTTTCTCAAAACAACTTTTTTCTTGCATGAAATATTGATAATTTTAGCGCGTTTTTTTCTTGAAATTTGACTATTTTCAATGCAAGGAAGGCGTAATAATATGTATACGTATACAACAGGTATGGTATTACGAATGTTTTGACTCATGTTTGTATCAAGTTGCTTTCTTTTTTATATTCTGCAAAGATGATTCCGAAATGTTAAGGCTTTCGAAAAAACTATCGAATTTTTCCATGATGTTTACAGAGAAACGTCACAGCTGCAGCCCCCCCCCCCCCCCCCCCCC